ACAGTGAAAACCTCATTTAACGGCCACCCTTTCGCAACGACCACCCTAATTCAACAATGTTGGTACCCACCGACGCCTTTGTCTTCCCCTGAGTGGATATAGGTTGAAAGGTCCTCTCCATCCTGTATTGGCTGTCCAACCACCGCTAGATTGACACTGGCGCGGGTAAGGAAGGCGGGCAAGGAGATGGACGAAAGTTGACGCTACTACACATCCTTTTTGTTTTAAACCGGTTGATGGGAGGAATCCGACTGGGTGCCATTATGTAGGACACTGCCGCTCATGCCAACATGGGAGTCGCCTCACAATAACGATAGATTTCGTTGACAACCAAAACGACTGAGGTTCCACCGGAGGACTTCCCTGCTGACCGAATAACAAAAGGCCTCAATAAGGTCAATAAAGGTCAAGTGTATGTACACAGCTCTTCTAATTCTTCCTGTATCTGGAGAGCAGCAAAAGGTTATATATAGTGCCGAAAGGAAGTTTTTCTCGAAGGAATCTGTTAAGGAGGAGACTCCCATGAGTCGTATGATATTAAAGATGGTGACTTTTGGGTAATGGGACTCTCGTTCCCATAACTTCTAGGAGAGAGTAGACGGCTGGTCAGCAAGGACTGCCTGTCCTAGTTGCAGAGGTGGGCCACCCTGGACGCTGAGGGACCTGTGTAGTCAGGACACCTTCATCGGTATTTTGGTTCAGTAAGGAATGGTAGTGATCTTTCCAGGCTGAGGGATGCCAACTTGTCATTAATAACCAAATGTAAGCGTCCACCCAGGGTAGTGTTAACTGTAGGGTTTATCCCATAACCGTTCACTAAAGAGTGTGACCATGGGACAGTGGTTGACACACACACACACACACACACCATAGGTTCATGAACGAATAGCCCATAAGGCCAGATAGACGTATGAAGTTGTAGTCAACAACTACCACACGCTGTGTTAATGATCTATATGACCCAGGGTCAAGAAATAGCCAAGGAAGACCGAACAACTTGCCACCTGTACCGACTAACAGAACACGACAGATCACAATCCACCACTATTAAATATCCAGATTCTGGGTTACTGGGGTGAATAAAGGAGGAGGGGGAGAAGAGGATGAAGGTGGAGGAGGAGGGGTTAGTGGAGGAGGAGCAGAAGGAGAGAATAGGAGAAGGAGGCTGAAGGATCAGGAAAGGAGGGAGGGGGTTGTGAATTAGGAGGGATAGTGGAGGAAGAGGAGAAGGAAGGAGTAGTGGGAGTGATGATGATGAGGGAGGAAGAGGAAGAGGTGGTGAGGTCATAATTAAGAATAATAGACCCTCACTCTAACACACACACACTACTAGCTGTGGTCAACCTCCTCAAGCCCAAAGCCATGAAGAGGTAAAAGTGAAACAACAAACAACAGGAGAGTCGAGCGAAGGTGATGTGGGTGTGTGTTGATTACGTGTGAGTTGACTGAATGATGGAATGACGAAAGAGAAAAGTAAAAGAAAAGATAAAATGGAAACAGAGAGAAATAAAATAAGATTGAGCTCCTTCCCAACACCGCCAGAATATCGTGTTCTATCCTTTGTCCAATAATTCTCCAGTGCTTGGGTCCTGAATAACAGTAATACAACACCTCCTTCAGTACTGGTGACCTTCGGCAGCGTGATAACCCTCCGTCAGTATCAAGAGGTGAAGCCCTGAGCTATAAATAAGGGCCCTTCACTCTCCCAGCGTCAGTCTGCTGCTCATCACTACCGTGTAGAGCACAAACCCCGAGGTGAACTATAAACTATTCTTCTTCTTAACAGCAGACTGTTGATAGGATCTATAACTCTGAATGAAACGTAACTTATTTATATATAAAAAGTTAGAAATGTCTGTTTTATAAATCAAATTATTTGTAGGATATGAATTATATCCACTTTCCATAGTCAATATAAGTCCATCACTTTGTATCACATTAAAGGACTGATAAAACTTTTATCACATAACGCTATCGACATCTATAAAAATACGTTCCCAGAATACAAGAAAGCACTTTATACACTATTGATAAATCTGTACCTAAAGTTCTACTCTGCTTCCAGATGTGATGTCTTCCAGTGTAGTGGTGGTGGTGGTGGTGCTGGCTGTGGTGGCGGCGGTGGTGGCTGAGCCCAGCTACCCTAAAACCACAAACCTGCTACCCCAAGACCCAGTACGTCACCCACTACCAGACGCAGTACCAGCAGGTAGGTACTGGGACAGGTGTAAAGGAAATACTGTAACCAAACAGAAAGTTCAGCTCAGATACAGAGAAAAAATACAAAACCAATTTGTCAAGCAAGATATATGGACTTAAGATTTACTACCCAATTTCTTATAAAACCTAATTAATCTTTGACCTCAACTACAGGTGCCAGTGTACACAACTGTCTACAAACAGCAGATCGTCCCCACCCACTCCCTACAAAACCCAGTACCAAACTCTACTCACTGGTGACCAAGTACTCAGACCCAATACGTTCCCGAATACGTCACTCAGACCGTCTACAAGACCGAGGTCCAGTATGTAACTCAGGTCAAGACCCAATACCAGACCTAATACCAAACACAGTACGTCACCAAGACAGCATACGTCCCTCAGTACATTACTGAGACCAATACCAGACCCATTATGTGACCCAGACTCCAGTACCAGACCGTGTACAAGACCCAGTACACGCCCAAGTACGTTACCACGACCCAAGGCATGTGCACCAGACCCAGTACCAGACCACAAAGTGGTCCCTCAGTACGTGATTTGTCATCCAAAACCCAGCAGACCTACAAGACCGTTCGTCCTAAGCCTTCTTATGGTCACTGAAGCTACATTAACAACAACTGATCGGGAGATCTCGACAGCAGCTCATGTTTTGTTTATGTTTTGTTAAGTCATGTTACATGTTCCTCCCCTTCCTATAGCACAACGAGGCGTCAAAGGTTTAAATTCCACAATATTATATGTTTAAAGTCTCTTATATGTAAAGTGGTTATTTTAAAGGATTGGAAGGTGATTAATGATGGGTGTGACATTATTTTGGCAGCTGAAATGGTTTAAAGGAGTTTAGGAAATAAGTCATGAAATAAATCAATAAGCAGATCCCTTGGTTTACCTTACCTACTTGATTAAGATTGTTCCTATTATTATGTCATAGACGGTCAGCCAACACTTGATAAAAGTTAAAGTCAAAGGTGGTCAAGCAGGCTCGTTGTTGTACTCTTGCTTCTACAATTATGAAACGATCTTAATACAATTTCCAAGAGGGATTGACCTAGACGTTCTGTTGACACCAGTAAATTATTCTTATTACAAATAATCCTTTATTCAACGACCACTCTAGCGACTCTCTTACTACAGTGAAACCTCATTTTAACGGCCACCCCTTTCACAACGACCACCCTAATTCAATGTTGGTATCCGCCGACGCCTTTGTCTTCCTGAGTGGTTGAGTGTTGAAAGGTCCCTCATCCTGTATTGGTCCTCCAACCGGCTAGATTGACACTGGCGCGGGTAAGAAGGCGCAAGGAGATGACGAAAGTTGACGCCACTACACATCCTTGTTTTAAATCGGTTGGATGGGGAGAATCCGACTGGGTGCCATTATGTAGGACACTGCCGCTCATGCCAACATGGAGTCGCCTCACAATAACGATAGATTTCGTTGGACAACCAAAACGACTGAGGGTCCACCAGAGGACTTCCCTGCTGACCGAATCAAAGGCCTCAATAAGGTCAATAAAGGTCATGTACAGGTCACAGCGCTCTTCTCTGCACTTTTCCTGCATCTGGAGAGCAGCAAAGATTATATATAGTGCCGAAGGGAAGTTTTTCTCCTCTGGAAGGAATCTGTTAAGGAGGACTCGGGCGAGTCGTATATATATTAACGATGGTGACTTTTTGGGTAATGGGGACTTCCCCCTGTTCCCATATAATCTCTAGGAGAGAGGAGGACGGCTGGTCAGCAAGGACTGCCTCGTCCTAGTTGTAGAGGTGGGCCACCTCTGGACGCTGAGGGACCTGCTGTGTAGTCAGGACACCTTCATCGGTATTTTGGTTCAGTAAGGAATGGTAGTGATCTTTCCAGGGCTGAAGGATGCCAACTTGGTCATTAATAACCAAACGTGTGTTGTCCACCCAGGGTAGTTAACTGTAGGGGTTTATCCCATAACCTTTCACTAAAGAGTGTGACCATGGGACAGTGGTTGATACACACACACACACACACACACCATAGGTTCATGAACGGATAGCCCATAAGGCCAGATAGACGTATGAAGCTGTAGTCAACAACTACCACACGCTGTGTTAATGATCTATATGACCCAGGGTCAAGAAATAGCCAAGGAAGACCGAACAACTTGCCACCTGTACCGACTAACAGAACACGACAGATCACAATCCACCAATTATTAAATATCCAGATTCTCGGTTACTGGTGAATAAAGGAGGAGGGGGAGAAGAGGATGAAGGTGGAGGAGGAGGGGTTAGTGGAGGAGGAGCAGAAGGAGAGAATAGAGAAGGAGGTTGAAGGACTAGGAAAGGAGGAGGGGTTGTGAATTAGGAGGGATAGTGAAGAGGAGAAGGAAGGAGTAGTGGAGGATGATGATGAGGAGGAAGAGGAAGAGGTGTGAGGTCATAATGAATAATAGACCCTCCCCCCACACACACACACTACTAGCTGTGGTCAACCTCCTCAAGCCCAGGTAAGTTTACAGGTAAAGTGAAACAACAAACAACAGGAGAGTCGAGCGAAGGTGGTGTGGGGTGTGAGTTGATTGAATGATGGAATGAAAGAGAAAAGTAAAAGAAAGATAAAATGGAAAACAGAGAAATAAAATAAGATTGAGCTCCTTCCCACAACACCGCCAGAATATTTGTGAATGATCCTTTTCCAATAATTCTCCTGCTTGGGTCCTGAATAACAGTAATACAACACCTCCTTCAGTACTGGTGACCTTCGGCAGGGATAACCTCCGTCAGAGTATCAAGAGGTGGGAGCCCTGAGCTATAAATAAGGGCCCCTTCACTCTCCCACCGTCAGTCTGCTGCTCACTACCGTAGAGGAAACAACTCCCGAGGTGAACTATAAACTATTCTTCTTCTCTTAATTAACAGACTGTTGATAGGATCTATAACTCTGAATGAAACGTAACTTATTTATATATAAAAAAGTTAGAAATGTCTGTTTTATAAATCAAATTATTTGTAGGATAAGGAATTATATCCACTGTCCATAGTCAATATAAGTCCATCACTTTGTATCACATTAAAGGATCGATAAAACTTTATCACATAACGTTATCGTATCTATAAAAATATGACTCCTAAGAATACAAGAAAATTAATCTTTATACACCATTGATAAATCTGTAACGCAGTTCTACTCTGCTTCCAGATGACGTCTTCCAGTGTAGTGGTGGTGGTGGTGGTGTTGGCTGTGGTGGCGGCGGTGGTGGCTGAGCCCAGCTACCCTAAACCACAACCCTGCTACCCCAAGACCCAGTACGTCACCCACTACCAGACGCAGTACCAACAGGTAGGTACTGGGACAGGTAAGAAATTACTGTAACCAAACAGAAAGTGCAGCTCAGATACAGAGAAAAATACAACCAATTTGTCAAGTTAAGATATATGGACTAAAGATTTGATTACCTGTTCTTATAAAACTAATTAACTTTGACCTCACTACAGGTGCCAGTGTACACAACTGTCTACAAACAGCAGATCGTCCCCACCACCCTCTACAAAACCCAGTACCAAACTCAATACCAGACCAAGTACCAGACCCAATATGTTCCTAAATACGTCACCCAGACCGTCTACAAGACCGAGGTCCAGTATGTAACTCAGGTCAAGACCCAATACCAGACCCAATACCAAACACAGTACGTCACCAAGACAGCATACGTCCCTCAGTACATTACTGAGACCCAATACCAGACCCATTATGTGACCCAGACCCAGTACCAGACCGTGTACAAGACCCAGTACACGCCCAAGTACGTTACCACGACCCAAGTACAGTACCAGACCCAGTACCAGACCAAAGTGGTCCCTCAGTACGTGACGGTCACCCAAACCCAGCAGACCTACAAGACCGTCTGTCCCAAGCCTTCTTATGGTCACTGAAGATGAAGACAACAACAACTGATCGGGAGATGCCTCGACAGCAGCTCATGTTTTGTTTATGTTTTGTTAAGTCATGTTACATGTTCCTCCCCTTCCTATAGCACAACGACGCGTCAAAGGTTTAAATTCCACAATATTATATGTTTAAAGTCTCTTATATGTAAAGTGGTTATTTTAAAGGATTGGAAGGTGATTAATGATGGGTGTGACATTATTTTGGCAGCTGAAATGGCTTAAAGGAGTTTAGGAAATAAGTCATGAAATAAATCAATAAGCAGATCCTTGGTTTACCTTACCTACTTGATTAAGATTGTTCCTATTATTATGTCATAGACGGTCAGCCAACACTTGATAAAAGTTAAAGTCAAAGGTGGTCAAGCAAGCTCGTTGTTGTACTCTTGCTTCTACAATTATGAAACGATCTAATACAATTTCAAGAGGATTGACCTAAGTTCTGTTGACACCAGTAAATTATTCTTATTACAAATAACTTTCTTTATTCAACGACCACTCTAGCGACTCTCTTACTACAGTGATCACCTCATTTTAACGGCCACCCTTTCACAACGACCACCCTAATTCAACAATGTTGGTATCCGCCGACGCCTTTGTCTTCCCCTGGAGTGGTTATGTGTTGAAAGGTCCCTCCATCCTGTATTGGCTGTCCTCCAACCGGCTAGATTGACACTGGCGCGGGTAAGGAAGGCGGGCAAGGAGATGGACGAAAGTTGACGCCACTACACATCCTTGTTTTAAATCGGTTGGATGGGGAGGAATCCGACTGGGTGCCATTATGCAGGACACTGCCGCTCATGCCAACATGGAGTCGCCTCACAATAACGATAGATTTCGTTGGACAACCAAAACGACTGAGGGTCCACCGGAGGACTTCCCTGCTGACCGAATCAAAGGCCTCAATAAGGTCAATAAAGGTCATGTACAGGTCACAGCGCTCTTCTCTGCACTTTTCCTGTATCTGGAGAGCAGCAAAGATTATATATAGTGCCGAAGGGAAGTTTTTCTCCTCTTGAAGGAATCTGTTGAGGAGGACTCGGGTGAGTCGTATATATATTAACGATGGTGACTTTTTGGGTAATGGGGACTTCCCCCTGTTCCCATATAATCTCTAGGAGAGAGTGAGGACGGCTGGTCAGCAAGGACTGCCTCGTCCTAGTTGTAGAGGTGGGCCACCTCTGGACGCTGAGGACCTGCTGTGGTCGGACACCTTCATCGGTATTTTGGTTCAGTAGGAATGGTAGTGATCTTTCAGGGCTGAAGGATGCCAACTTGGTCATTAATAACCAAACGTGTGTTGTCCACCCAGGGTAGTTAACTGGAGGGTTTTATCCCATAACCTTTCACTGAAAGAGTGTGACCATGGGACAGTGGTTGATACACACACACACACAATCATAGGTTCATGAACGGATAGCCCATAAGGCCAGATAGACGTATGAAGCTGTAGTCAACAACTACCACACGCTGTGTTAATGATCTATATGACCCAGGTCAAGAAATAGCCAAGGAAGACCGAACAACTTGCCACCTGTACCGACTAACAGAACACGACAGATCACAATCCACCAATTATTAAATATCCAGATTCTCGGTTACTGGTGAATAAAGGAGGAGGGGGAGAAGAGGATGAAGGTGGAGGAGGAGTGGATAGTGGAGGAGGAGCAGAAGGAGAGAATAGAGAAGGAGGTTGAAGGACTAGGAAAGGAGGAGGGGGTTGTGAATTAGGAGGGGATAGTGGAGGAAGAGGAGAAGGAAGGAGTAGTGGAGGATGATGATGAGGAGGAAGAGGAAGAGGTGTGAGGTCATAATTAAGAATAATAGACCCTCCCCCCACACACACACTACTAGCTGTGGTCAACCTCCTCAAGCCCAGGTAAGTTTACAGGTAAAGTGAAACAACAAACAACAGGAGAGTCGAGCGAAGGTCGTGTGGGTGTGAGTTGACTGGAATGATGGAATGAAAGAGAAAAGTAAAAGAAAGATAAAATGGAAAACAGAGAGAAATATAATAAGATTGAGCTCCTTCCCAACACCGCCAGAATATTTGTGAATGATCCTTTTTCCAATAATTCTCCCGCTCTTGGGTCCTGAATAACAGTAATACAACACCTCCTTCAGTACTGGTGACCTTCGGCAGCGTGATAACCCTCCGTCAGAGTATCAAGAGGTGGGAGCCCTGAGCTATAAATAAGGGCCCCTTCACTCTCCCAGCGTCAGTCTGCTGCTCACTACCGTAGAGGAAACAACTCCCGAGGTGAACTATAAACTATTCTTCTTCTCTTAATTAACAGACTGTTGATAGGATCTATAACTCTGAATGAAACGTAACTTATTTATATATAAAAAGTTAGAAATGTCTTTTTATAAATCAAATTATTTGTAGGATAAGGAATTATATCCACTGTCCATAGTCAATATAAGTCCATCACTTTGTATCACATTAAAGGATCGATAAAACTTTATCACATAACGTTATCGTATCTATAAAAATATGACTCCTAAGAATACAAGAAAATTAATCTTTATATTGATAAATCTGTAACGCAGTTCTACTCTGCTTCC